TCTATAGAATGCCAAATGACAAACCGGCAAGGTATGAAATTCATATTCAGATTCATTTCGAAGAACCAAACTACTTATCAGAAGTTAATCAGTGATGTAAAAAAGCCAAAATGACTATTAAGAAGGAACCACGGGACAACTGGCTGCTGAATCGCTAGGATGGGATGTTTGTAGAAAACAGAAGTACATTCATTTATCCTCTTAAAGAAAGTGTCAGTACTATACAATATTACGCCAAAGAACATGTATTGTATGAATAGATGTTCTTTGATTATGCCATGGACGTTGAGCTATTTCCCATACTTCATGAAAACACATTCGAGTACTGGACACGGACGATATGACAGAATGTCGAAAGAGCTTTCAGCCAAATACAAAAACGTTACACGTAATGCTGACCACCTTTGTGAGCCCTACCAGAAAAAAAAAGAGGGGGTATTAAAAAGGGCATTGTTGTGAAACTTAAGATTGCTTCTGAATTTAATTTCCGTTGTCAGGTAGATCTTACTGATTTCCAGTCTCGTCCAGGTAAAAAATACAAATTTATTATGTTGTATTAAGATCGTTTAATTTTTTTTCATATTTCGAATAACAGTTTTTTAATGGCACTCTTTCATTAATTTTTCAAAATAACATTTATATTTTTGAGGAAAGAGCATCTATTAAATAATAGCAAAAATCATAACCTTTTTTTCATACTTTGCCTATTATATGCAATGCTTAGGGATAGTATGTAATAATTCTCATATTTCATACTTTGCCTAAAATCATCTGGCATTGTATACAATGCTGGTGTTTCATACTTTGCCGGTAACATATATATAAAGCAAGAATAATTTTTGTTTTTTGTGTTAATATTAGGAAACAAATACTGAAACAGAGTTGATCACAAAAAGACTGCTTAAATCAACATAAGTTTTTTAAATAAAAAAAGGAGGAAATAATTTTATTATAAGCAAAATTTAATTATATATTTAGGCTGCTTCTCAATTTAGTTAGTATAAACTTGAGCAAACAGCATCTGTATCTGTCCATCAAAGAAAGTTAAACAGGAGCAGAGCTTATCTTGGATACCATTTGTTAGCTTCGTATGTATGTTTAAATGCTGCAATGTTAGACCTTCACCCACAAAATATGGAACCCCTTGAAACTGTCTGTATTAATTTAAAATACAAGAAGACTGTTGATCTTTGAAGCTTGTGTTTCTGCATGTAAGTATATACCTAATCAAAGCAACATCAATTGTATCTGCTGCAATAATTTTGGTAACATCTTAAATCAAGCAATGTCCTTCCTTGTCATCCCACTGTTTCTTATCTGATCATTTAAAATTTAAATTTATGCATATTTACAAATGAGATATTTAAATTGAAAGATCTGAAATTAATTTTTTTCTGAGCTAATATTAGTGGATTTTTCATTTCCTTTCATTAAACTTTTCTCATAATATGCATTCAAGTTTTAACCAGAAAATAGGAACTGCTGTTTAAATCTATATAAAAGCCTTGTAGAACAGATTATTCACTACTACAAAAACTATTTATAAACATATATACCTGCAAGTGTTTGGATATTTCCTTCAGCTGGTAATAAAGAATGGAAAATATGAAATGATAATGCAGGTTTGCATGCATATACTATACCTGAAATATTAAAGCATGAGAGAGTCTATGTGGAATTAAATAAATGGGGGAGGGGGAATCCCAGAACCTTACCAAAATTTGTGCTGCATTATGGCTTTAGATTTTATAACTTCTAAAGAAACACAGATGTTGTTTGATTAAAAATTGCAGAGACACATTTTAATTTGAAATATGAATACATTTCAGTTTGAAATATAAACAGATACAGTCAGCACTAACTTGATTTCAAATTTTTAATTTCCTGTAATTTAATAATAAAAAATTTCAATTTTACAAATATGTAAAAATAGCATAGTTAAGCATTTAAACCTTAAATCTGTCACTTATGTGATAAAATTATTCATTTCATTTTATATATTATAGCATTGTAGTTCTTATACCTAGTAATTTGGATACCATGTTTGCTGCATTTTGCATTTTAAAGAAAGTTTAAAGGAAAAGAAAATGTAAGAGTTAATAAATATATTTATGTGCGTATAGAAAGTGAAGCGGAAACATTTATTCTAATTGTTAAATTTTAAAATTCGCATGCATTTCATCATTTTATCACTTTACACATTATAATATAATAAATGATACACATGCAGTAAGAAGCCAGACTATCTGGCATTAAACTATGCAGAAAGTTTATGTAATCGGAATATTTTTGAAATTAAAAAAAAAAAAAAAAAATTCAACCCTCCCTCAAAAAGTAAGAAAATCTAAAGGACAGTGCCGCTGAACAATCAATGCATTTCTAAGAAACACTACTCTCCTCATTAATTTTTATTATTGAAAAAGGACAGAGGTAGGGCCTCTGTAAGAGGGAACAGTACATCTTGTCATTTTCAACTTCAAAAACAACTCTTCACTCCCATGATGTATTATAGTTGGACACAACTTTCTGTGGCTTTTTAATTGACCGTGCCTCCTGCTGAAGATATTGCCCAAAAAATAATATTGAGAGAACTAAAATGGAACATATACCTACTTTTATTTCTAAACTGCATCTGCTAACAGGCATGCACTGAGTTGTGCAGAGCATCTGTAACAGATCAATCTAAATTGTGTGAAATTTTAAGCTAAATATTAAGATAATTTCTTTAACCAGGTTGATAAGTTTGTAACAAAAAGCAAGACTGTAATCAAACTGTTAAATTTCACATTGCTTATATTTTGTTAAATTAATATTTCTTCTGTTTGCTTAAAAAATATTATTCCTTTTTTTAAAAAAAAAATATATTATAGCTGCAGCTTGCTGTAAAGGATATTGATATAAAAACAAAGTAAACAGAGAATCTTTATGTAAAATCTGCATAATATTAATTAAAATTTTTTTAACGTTACATATCTCATATTAAGAGTGTGCAACATTTCTTTTTTATAATACACTATTAATTTTACATTAAGCTTTTCCTATCTGGTACAGATGGCAAATAAAATGACTTTTTATAATTTTAGACTGGAAATTTCTTCTTCCACTTATTTGGCTTTTGTGTTAAGAGTTGTCATTTTTACACAATTAACTATATGGAATTTTCACTTATGAGACATTTCTCCAACTAAGTACTTGATTTGTGTGTCTGAGATATGCTTATTCAAAATATTAATTTAAGAATACTTAAGATAACAGTTTATAATGATATTTCTCATGCTTCCTGAGAAGAAACTTTTATTTTTCATTCCTTTTCTTTCCTCAGCTTAGCTACAGAAAACATTTTATCCTACTCTTAAAAGTACAGTTTAGTGTTTGAGATATTAATATACTTCTATCCTAATAAATGTAAAATAGAATGCATCTTTATATACAGTTTTAATAGAATGGAAAAAAGGGAGCATTAAAATTGAATGCATAATAATGAATTGTTATTAAGTATATAATGTTGTTTTCATGTAACATTAGTTGCAATATCTTATACAAAAAAAAATTAATTTGTTTTAATATTTATGTTTCTTATCCTATGTTGCTTGCAATATTGTATACAACTCAGAGAACAAGAAATGAAATTTATTTATTATATATTTTAAATGCATATACATTTATTAAATTTAATGTATGAAATATATCTATTTATTTAATGTTAACAGACTATTTGTTCAGTTATAGTATTTTTCAGCATTTTAGTTAGTAAAATTACTTGCTAAGCACTTTTATGGAAGGATGTATTAATAGTTTAGCATTATGTTGAAAGTTCTATTTAAATAGTTTAGTACCACCTTACATAAATTTATATCAATTTTGCCTTTTCAACCTGCGGTACAATACTACTGAAAGGAATTTTGTCGTTAAAAGAAAAGTAGTTTAGAATTGTGATTTTGGCTGTTGTCATTTTGCTGTAATATTATTTTTAAATCATATTTATAAGAAAATTTTATATTTTTAATTTCTCCAATCTGTTGTTGAAACTGTGCTGATTTCATTATATATATTTAAATTCTGTTATAAATATTATTGTTGAAATATTTTAGTATAATAAAATTTTATAAAATAGTCTTTGCACTGAATATGCATTAGCTCAGATTTTTTTAACATTTTTAATTCCTTATAGAAGCTCTTGTGGGCCTTGAATGTTTTCAAACTACAAAATTTTTAAAGTGAGATTTAGATAAAGATGATTAATTTTTTTATTTAACAAAAATTAATTCTATTTTAAAGTATGTAAAGATTTAAGCGTAAATGCATTAACCACAAACTCTGTTGAAGAAAAAAAAAAAAAAAAAAGACAAGAACCTTATTTTACTCTAGTTATTGTAAATTTTAAAAGAACTGCAATGCTTTTGAAACTGATATAAAACTAAAAACATTATGCTTACTTTATATTCAATACTGCAATATATTCTTGAATGCTTTAAATGTTTATTTCTAGTTTATTCAGCCTACAGCAACAAGTTTAAGATAATTTTTCTCTTAAAAACATCCTAATTTCCTTGTTTGTGATTTTATTAAACTATGAAACAGGAGATTAAAGATCCCAATCACTATACTCAACTAAAGAATATAAATCTTAATAATGTAATTTATTTCTTATTGATGAACATGAATGTCCAAACAAACACTTATTCCAGCTGTGAAATGATTTCTCAGAGTTCGAAAAATTCAAAATATTAAATCATGCAAATAATTTCTTAAATATACATTCTTTTTTATGACTGCTATTTGATAAAACCCTGATTTCAAACCAATGAATACAGGACGCATAACATCCAAAAAGAGGAAAGGATCTTTTGTTGTGTGAGGAAAGAATAAAAATATCAAAACAACAACCAAAAAAAAAAAAAAAAAAAAAAAAAGTGAGGATCTTTTGTGAAAACTTGCAATTTTATTTGCATGAGGAAACAAATATTGTGCTTTTTAACTTCAGAATAAATATTTAAAAATTCTCAAAAATATATATATTTATTAACATTTCCATTTTGGACATCAGTGGCTATAAAATTATAAAGTAAACAAATAATTTTTAATTCATATGTGTCAACAATTCAATGTATGAGTCAATGATTAATCATCAATATTTTTAACAACAAACACAATGAAATTTTGTACACAAGATAGTAACTATGTACTACAAAAAAAAGGGGGAGCAGTTTTTCACAAATATTGGGGAAGAGTATAAATTAACATTATTATAAAAGTGATATTTCTTTTACTTAATTCAAATTCAATTAAACTAAATTAATAATATTCAAGCAAGAAATTATCCTTAATTTCTTGCTTTTTCCTATTTTAAAACATTTTTCATGCTTCATATATATATGCAAGTATAACAAATTTCAGGTATAGAATAATGGAAACTAACATATATAAACATATTTAATAAGAAATAAGGATACAATACACAGCTGAACAAAGTATTGTAATTACAAAGGATCATATGCACAGAATTCATAACTAATAATTGAATACTAGATATGACAAAAGCAAAGTGTAAAATTTACAAACTCATATTACAACAAAAACAGCCATACTTAAATATTTAGACCAAGATTATACTTTTGATGTAAATCAGACAGTCCCGATTTTGATTGAGGAGACAGAATCTGGGAATTTTATCATCTTTCAAAGAGGACTTATGGATTTCTGATTATTTAAAGTGCCTCTTCCCCAAGAATATTACAAACATCCCTGCTTATGCTCAGCAAATGTAGCCTGCTTCTACCAACCATTATCCTATATCCAGGTTCTAAAATATTCAGAACACTTGAAGAAACTAGGGATCACAATAATTATGAATATTTAACTGTACAACAGTAATCTGGGAAAGGGGATCACATATACTCACATATTAAAGCATTATTGTTCTACATGTAATTCTAATGCCAAAACTTTGAAAAAAGTATGTACAAAATTTTATTAAAACAGTTTCAACAATGTGAGCAATTCAGTTCAGTAAAAATTGTACAGGAATGCAATTGTACGGGAATCGTTTTACACGATTCCTGTACGGTTGCATTACAATTAATAAAATATTCATTATCTTTTGACGGAAAAATAAAAATCACACATTTATATGCAAAACTACAGAGATTCAAGAACAAATTTAACAACATTTTTCTCTGCTAACATTGAAGAAAAAAAAAAAAAAAAAAAATGGAAGTTTTTACATTATATGGCCTCTCCTTCAAAAGAACCCTAAACTGACTTAAATTTATTTATAATGTATGAGTTACTGAACAATTTATGATATGTCTATTAAGTAAAATATATTAATATGTAATTATATATTATAGATTTTATACTCTTTAGTAATTTAGTTTTGTAATTTTTTTATACTTTTATGCTACAAAATTCTGAAGCACTGAAAAAAAGTTTTTATTTATCAAAGTGCTTTAAATACGATGATAATAAATGCAATAATTCATGTACATACTATTGTGTAGATATGAACTTACTAATATTATATATTGATGCAAAACAAAATTAAAATTTCATTAATTAATAAGTTTATTGCTGGGAAAATGATTAAAATTCAAGAGATTCGGTGATCTATTGGGAGGTATGCAGAAAAAACGAGAGAGCTGACAGATATGGCATATCAATTTGAACTACAGATAAGGAAGACTGAATCTGAATTAAGGAGGATTGAGAGATCAATTACAATACAAAACTTGCTTGTTTTTAGCGGTTAAAGATGTCATTTTGGGATGAAATAGTATTCATAGTTAACACAGCCATACTCTGAAAGTATCTCCTAAGATAAGATACAATAACATGCCAAACAAGTATTCGTTTAGAAGTCATTGAAAATATAATGGTGATTTTTGTTGTTTGACTTCTAAATTATCATTTAGGTCTCTACAAAATCTGCACATAAAGATGTAGATATATTTTTTAATCAAATTTAAAAATAACTGTGTAACTTAGTATACTGTTTTGTAAGAATCAAACAAGATGAATTTTTATTTATTTATTTATTTATTTATTCAGAATCTTCCACAGCAATAAATTATTTTCAAAAAATTATCTACCTTATTTTAAGAAACTGAAATTGCAAATTCACGTCTAGGATCAGTAGTTAAAAGTCTACAACAATCTTTTCTGAATATCATGTATTTCATATTAAAAAAGCATTAAACACAAAAATATGAACAATGTGATGCTACAATATCTGTAACACAAAAGTTAAAAGCTAGCACATAAAAATACTGTGCAAAAATACGAGTAACTTCAGTCCTATCTTTAATAAAAATTTAATTTAAATAACAGAGAGAATAATATCTCATTATAATTTTAAACTCTGCAGAATAAAAAGAGTTTAGCAAAGTTTTATAGAATCAAGAAATAATGGGGGAAAAAAATTGCTTTGATGTGTCAATTTCTAATATTTTATCACAGCATTGTAGTAAACTAACAGGTCACAATCAGTATTTTAAAATAAATTCTTAACATGAAATAATGCCAGCTTTTACAGAAAAATTTTGCTTTATTTTCACTTCCTATACACTAAAAAATCAATCACTGGCCTTTTTCTTTAATAGTTCTTGCATAACACTGCATTACTCATTTTTCTGCGTTGCATTTTGCACTATTATTAAAAATTATACCAGGCATATGTACAAAAATTGCACTTGTCAGCAGAATAATGCATAGAAACATATTTGATATCACTTGATACACAAATGATATGATATTACAAATGATAACATTTTATAAAAATATTCGCGTGTTTAAAAAACTTTATAGTTTTATACAGTTTGACATCATTTTCACAGAAAAACATTATTCACATTGTTCTTTCATACTTCTATGGATTTCTGTGCAGTGTTTTCTATGAGGTATTTTACTACCTCTCGCATATTTGGCTTCTCTGAATTTTCTAAGGCATAGTCCAAGGCAGTCTAAAATAATAAAAAATTTAATTTAGACAACAAACCATTTTTAGAACTTAAATGGTATATTATCAAAAGATTTTAATTGATATTTTAAGATTTTTATTTACTTTTTAGTTCATTAAAATAAGCATTTTATCTACATGAAAGAAAAATCTTTCGTGCACAATTTTATTTTAAATTTATTCTGAAATGACTACTGATTTGATTGTAATTACCTGAATTTCTTTTAGAATGTTTCAAAAATGAGAAGAGTTTTGATTTTTGTTTGATTCAACCATCAAAATCATAATTCTCCCAATTAAAAAACATTTGATATGCTCTTCCTCTATTCACTTTGCACCAAAGTTTGACTTAAAACACATCAATAATATTCCTCAGAATGTTCTTTAGTAAAAGACAATTATGGTGACAATGATTTTTTATAAAGAATTGTTAGCTCTATTTCTTTAGTTTTTAAACTTAATTACCCCTCGGCAGTCATTTATTGTAATGGCTAGGATCTGTACTTCAACAACGGGGTGTAAAAATAATAAGCCCAGAAGTTTCAAAATCCAAACAAATATCATTTCATGCAGTTGGACCAAGGAAGATTAGCAAAAACTCAGAACCTCTGTGGACAGCGGTAATAACTCTACACTCCACCTGGTAGCTAGTTCAGTAGAGGAAATAATGGAGCTTTGGTGAGGAAAGAAGTAATAACTCTGCACTCCACCTTGCTGTTGGTCCACACGGGACAGGTCCTAGTCTATGTAGTACTGGTAGGTAGCATTATTTACAACTAGTCACACTTACAGGCTTTCACAGTTTCCACCATTTTGGTCTCTGAGCACCAGGAGTGGTGACCCTGATTGACCAGTTAAGCAGTAGTTTGAAAGAAACTCTTTAAAGTCTGCTATCTGGGGTTAGGGTCTCTAGGCGGTGGTATGATTGGATACTTCTTACCTCTCAGCGACTTTTGAGATGACCCACCTTCTGCCAAATATGGAGGTTTCTCAGTTGGGCCCACTCTGTGTAGTGCTTGATTATTAGAAAGCAGAACATGTATGTAATTATAATTCTCTTAGATTTATATCTTTATTGGAGGGAAAAATTCCATGTACAATCAAATAAGGCATTATTAGTGCAACCAAATCAAATTTTTCTTATCAGTTTAACAATCTAAATGAGGAGAAAAAAAACTTTGCAGTTTGAACTGATATATTGGGATATTTCTAAACTAATGCACAAAAAACAAACACGTTTCAAAACAGGATGTATGTATTTGTAAATGCAGGAATTATGTGCTAGAGGGCACAATAAAACATATGTATAAAAGTGGAGGTTTTATCAGGCAAGTTCCATCGTGACTGGGAATAGATCAAGGGCAGGGGGGGGGACTATAGCTTCAAAACAGAACATAAGTTCGAAAATGCAGTGTTTATGTAATAAAGATCACTGTGAGACACATATATGAAAACCTAATGATTAGAAATGAATCAATATATGGATGGGGTGAAAGCAGATATGCATTTTGTATATGGTCTGACTGAGAGAAATAGCAGGCATGTGAAAAGCCTTTATCAATGGTGCTTCCCCAACGAGTGTATTTCTGATCACAAGATTTTTGTGTGTTTGCATTACCAGCTATTGGAATCAGGAAGTTTCCATGCTGACATGCACAACTATATGTTTTCGCAGAAGAGTTTGCACACTTGCCATGTCAGAAGAGATTATGCATCAGATATGTACAGCAACCATATATTAGCATTAGAAATTGTAGTCTGTTACAAAGCTGTACACAATATTATGGTGAGTTTTAAGTGCTGAACATGTTACCATATGCATTGTATCACAGCAGCAACTCAGAGATCGTTCAGCACATATAGGGTTTGTCCTTACAACAGGGTAGAATAGACTTGGTATCTCTTGCACGTGTGTTGTTCATGGATGAAGCTACGAGCCACTTGTTATAAAATGCACTGCATGTTCACATTCTTAACAATGATGCTTCATAGAGAATTCTGAGAGTAGATATATTTAATGACCACACTACTGGCCCATACCTTATTGAAAATCATTACCAGGATGTCAGCATAGGAAAAGTCAACCTGATATTCTTCCAACAAGTGTCTTAGGAATTATTCTGGCATGCACCATTAGCCATTTGCATTACAGCACAAATAATTCCAGCATAACAGCACAAGGAACTGCTACGTGCTTACTATATTTACAAATACATGCTTACCTGTATGCCATGTTTCAGATTAGTAATTCGTTGAAAGTAACCCATCATTTGGTCCCTTCTTTTTATGAGGACACCTGAAATCCCTCAATGAAATTATCATCAAATGTAATGCAGATCTTGGAGCTAGGCTTTCAGTAGCTGCACCAGAAGCCAGCAATAAGCTTGGTACTTCAAAGATTACATGACAGTGCTTATATCAATGATACAACGCCTCATAAAAATTGTTTGCATCCTAAAATGTTTGCATAAAGAAAGGTAACTGCCATTTGGAATAGCTTTTGGGAAATATACTTCATTTCAGTTATTACTGATGTTTAGACATATGATTTTGTTTGTATTTTTTATTCACAGTAGTGCTCTCTAATTTATGCAATTCTGGTTGTAGCATTTCATTACATCAACAAATTATGGATGGTCGTCATTATAACATTCTTTTAATACTTCTTGCCTCTCCAAGTTTCCCTTTTTGTCAGATACTGCATTCTGAAATAAAACACACCCTCTAGCACATATATTCTACTTGCAACAATATATTATATGCTGAAAATTGTTTGTTTCGGTGTTCTATCACCTCCTAATGCTTACTGTATTAGTTCAGAAATACCACATTTAATACCAAATAATATGAAAGCCTGGATGGCATTCCAAACAGTAGAACTTCCTGCAACTGCATAACAGATTCTGGAAGAAATGGAACAATCTCATCAAATCCACTGGGTGAATAGGTTGATAAAATGAATGGTTTTAACATAAAAGAAAATAACACTAAAATTAAACTAAAATTGAACTAAAAGATTTAGTAGCATCCCTCTCTTGAAAAGAAGAGTTAGCTATGCTCCGAACAAGTGGTGTGATAAGAGATGTGTTATTCAGAAAAATGACCTAAAAAGGTTTGACAGTATAAATACATAGCTAATTTAGAACTGCACTGAGTAATGAACATTACATAAAAAAAAACCAAAATATCTAAACAAATACAATACTGCTTGCAAATTATGCAACAAATGAAAAAAAAATTTTGTTTATTAGAACCAAATAACATGAAGCAACATCATAAGGTGATATTAATAAAAAGTAAGAATAAGACATAATATTTATGTTACATATAATGAACTGTGATGAATATATACTTGCTAGACAGGTAGAAGAAATTAATCTAATAAAAATGCATTTCTGAATGCTACTTCTACTTTTATGACATTTAACCATAATATATTCAAATATTATAAATGTTTTCTGTCACACAGTTTAGAAAAAATACATAATCTATCCAACTCATACCTTCTTGACACACACAAAACATACCTTCACGATTTAAACACACTTTCATTCTGTAAACAGTTCCTAATGTTTACAGAATATTAAATAGCACTGCTTAAAATTCACATGTGGATAGTAAAAATAAATTTAATAAATATATGTAAATAAAAATATATGCACATAATAAAACTGCACGTAAAAAACATCTTTTAAAGAGGTAATAAACTTTACGTGGAAAAAATACAATAAGATATCAGATTAGACTAGTAAATGCAATAAAATAGATAGGTTTGAACAGGTGCTGATGCAATAAAATAGGTGTGGAAAGAGTCCTAAATTTCTAAAAATAAAATCTTTCACATTAAAATAACACACAGAGGGAGGTAAAAAAGAAATTTTACTTGGTATTGGAAACAAAACCCAAAATCTATATTTAATGAAACAAATTTAAGAAAAGTGTTTTTTTTTTTTTTTTTTTTTAAATGCCTCAATATTTATTAAAAAGATACAAATGAAATTTTGTAAATGAACTACAAAATTAAAATTCATGAATTAAAGTCCCCCCTTTAAAACAATTTGACAAAACCTATTATAGTTTTTAATTTTTACATTTTCTGGGAATCTTTCTAAAATAATGCAAGTGTAGAGGAAAGAGAACTGTTTCAAGAATTAGCGTGAATAAACATTATACATAAGATACTTAGTTATCTTCAGAAAATAAAGAATGTGGCATTCATGATTGTCAAGAGGCAATACTAGTGATTAAATCCACTGAAATTTCAACAGTTGTATTCTTTTTTAATGGAGGCCTTTCTAAGTTTAAAAAAAAAAAAAATAATGATTTCATTTAGGTTAAGATTCAAAAAGCTAAGAATGACGAGGAAAGCTAGAAGACTTGAACATTTGAATATGCCATATCTATAATCATTTTGTCATTAGCCTACATTTCCATTAGTTGCTACAAAAACAATAAAAAATAATAACAATAATGAAATAATAACAGTAATGAATGAATGAGAGTAATGAAACACATGTGCCCCAAAGAAGTGAAAGATTCTATTAAAAACAATAATTTTAAATATATTCAAAAGTTATTAATGTACACTCAAATACATTACTGTGAAATTTGTGCACCTGATGATTAAATAACACCAAAAGGAAATACAAATATAAGAACTTCCTGAGCAAAGTAGTCACATGCAAAGATATGTAAAGGAAAGAAAAAGAAATCTGCATCTTGTTGTACAGATATGTATGCATTCATAATTCTTTCTTTATTTAAATTCCCACTTCAGCTAATTCAGGCCTTACATAAATTATAAGTTTTTACTAAACAAAAACAAAACTAGTTCAATTTTAATGATTAAGATTTCATATTTACTGTAAAAATAATTGCTATTTTTTTTTCAAATAATTTACTTCACTAGCAATATTATATACGAATTATATAGGAGATAGGATTCAAAAGTTCCCGGACTGTATAAAGTAAAAAATATTATGAATTAAACTGCAGAAACACATCTTCCTTCGAAATAAGACCCTTGTTCAATAACACACTTTTGCCAGAGCCAAGTTCATCGAAGCATGTTTGGAATCCATTTTTGGCCATGTCCTTTAATTCAGACTGAGATGTACATTTAACTTCATCTGATGATTGAAATCGATGACCGTGCAAGCGCCTTGCCAGTTCAGGAAATAGGAAGAAATTGCAGGCTGCGAAAACAGGTGAATAAGGAGGTTGAGGCAAAACAGTTCTTTTCGTTTTTGCAAGAAAGTCATTAACGAGTAAGGATTGATGAGCAGGAGCGTTGTCATGCAACAGCACTATGACAGCTTAGCCTACATTTTTGGTCTCTTCTTCCGGATCGACTTATGCAAACACAGGATTTCGACGTAGAGTTCTTTGTTCACAGTGTGTCCTTCAGAGATAAATTTCAGATGCACAATGCCCTGGATATTGCAGAATACCCCTAGCCATGACCTTTCCTTTAGAGCGATCTTGGCGGAATTTCTGCTTCTGGGGAGATTACAGCGATTTCCATGTTGTTGATGCTCTCTTGGTTTGTGGGTCGTACAAAAAACACCATTTCTCATCTCCAGTAACAATTCTGCCAAGTAGGGAATCTTTGTCAACAGCCGAGATTAAGTCTTCCGCAATTTCCATCAAATTCCCTTTTGGTCTATGTTTAACATGTGGGGGAACGATGTGTTGACACACCCTATGTATGTTAAAGATCCTTAGTCAGTATCTGCTGACATGTGGCCTCTGATATCCCAACTGATTCTGCTATTTGGCAAATTGTTTGTTGCCTGTTCGCACGTATCTCTGAAGACACCTTTTTGATGTTTTCATCGAGTCGCGAAGTCACAGATGGCCACAGTGTTCGTCGTCTTCAGCACTTTCCCAGCCTTCTCTGAAACGAAGATGCCACTCAAAAGCTTGCGTTCTCGATAACATTTTCACTTTACACATGCTTCAGCATTTCGAAAGTTTCCATAGCACTCTTTTCCAAGCGAACACCAAATTTGATATTGATTCTCAGTTCAACTGACACCACTTCTTTTTATCGCTGGTTACCAAATGCACCTGCCTACAAAAAATGCTGTTGCCTTGAGCTTTCGACCACGTGATTAGGGACAAACCACTTTTAGAAAAGGAGGAGGACGTAGTAACACAAAAACATTCTTGTGGTCGCACTACTGCAAAAAATTTTTACATTATAGACTCAGTACGAGAACTTTTGAATCCTACAACATAAATATGTATATATATATATATATCATGTTGAAGAAGTTTATAAAGAAAAAGCAACAGGAGAATATATTCTATCTGATCTTGAAATATGATAACTTAGTTTTACTTGAAAATAAACAGTCTTTAATAATTATTTTACAACCACTAAATAATAATAAAGATCCAAACGATATCAGTATATATTTAATTTTCTTTTGTGCAATGGATCATATCCAAATGACATCTGCATCTCGCATTCAAATCTTTTTAAAGTTTTAATACTTCCTTCTTTCCAAATACATATGCAAAAGCAAAAATTACATATAAAATAAAAGTAAAATCAGCACCATTATTCAACAATAATAGGCATAATTTTAATTAAAATTTTTAATAAAAATATTATAGGAATAATTCTGAGAATAAAAATATTAAAGAATTTTTTGATATAATATACACAAAAGAGTAATTAAGTACACACAAGCAGATTAACACAATTACAAAATATGATAACAAATATTTCAAACAGGATTAAAAGTTCAGTAAAAATTATTTAAGCATTTATTTTTAAAATCATATATTTTTGTACTCTTTTGTTATTGGGACCGGATTCAGAAATATATGCATGTAAGCATGTGTGTATGTATGCATGTGCATATATGTGTACATATATATGTACATGTAAATACATGAACACATCCATACATACATACAAATCCGAATGTGGTCCCGATAACAGAAGAGTTCCGAATTTTCATTGGGTCATCTGGAAAGTTTTGCTGTTTTTCATATCAAAACACGCTTCCTTCAAATTATTTTGTTCAAATTATTGTATTACTGCTGATGAAAACTACCTTGATTAAAGGTTATGTATAAACATAGTCTTTTCTGCTCAGGATGCATAATTCGAGCAGACATTGTGGCATAACTTTTGTTTCAGTGCAGTGCTAAAAATTAAAAGCCAAAAAGCCCATTTGTGTGATATTACTCTCTTTCATTTTAAAAAAGTATAAAATGCAAAAATGCTAGTCAGACTCATAAAATTTGTACAATATATGGACAAAAAGCTATTTCTGACTGCATAGTTCAAAGTTGGTTCAAGATGTGACGAAAGAAATTTCAGCTGTGAAGATGATGCTTGCTCTCAACGACTATCCTCTAAACAAGTAATTTCTAAACATCTCTGGAAACAAGTGCCAATTAAAAGAATCTGTCTCTGAAAAATCACATTACACTAATTGGAAACTATCACAAAGTTAAAAAAAAATTACAATAAATTATCATTTGAAGTATGTAAGTCGCTATAATGTATGGATACTCGGTACTTAAGCAAAGCAAAATATGCTTGAGTTTTGGCAAGCCATTACTCGACAAAAAAAGAATTTTTGGGAGAAACATTTCATTATTGCAGATGAAAAGCAGATATTATATAGTAATTTTGCAAGAAAAATATCACGGAGGAATCCAAAAGAATATCTTTAGTCACACCGAGAAAAGAGAAGAAGGGCTAGCAAACAAATCAGAGAAATTCGAAAAAATAATGCTCTCAAATGACAATTTTGAAAGCAGAAGCAAAGTGGTCAGAACTGATCCAGATGTCATCCATTATGGCAATGCTTAGCCATACATTTTGATGACTGTCAAAGACTTATTTGAGTATGGCAGGGAAGTTTTGTGTTACCTGTCATATTCACTAGATTTTGCTCCCTACGATTTTCATCTCTTCAGGTCACTGGAAAATTCTTTGAACAGCCTAAAATTCCTTTCTTTGGAAACTGTCAAACAGCACTTTGATAACTTCTTTATGAATAAACCTCATGAATTTTTTGAAAAAGAAATTTTCCAGCTGCTAGAAAGATGGCAGAAGTACAAAATGATGCTTATATGATTCAATAAAATTTTATTATGTTTTTGTACTGCTTCATGTGCATTTATCATCATCATAATAATAATAATAATAAACACAAAACTTTCAGTTTGGCAAAATTCTTGCAGTAAACACGAGAAATTCATAAGGTATAAAAATTGCAGTATGTTACTCACCTTGCCAAATGCATCTCTATTATTTATATGTGAATATGGATTCTTGTACTTTTTGTGAAATTCCACTATATTATATATTTCTTCAATGTTCCAATTTATAACAGCCAAATGCAAATTTCTGAAAAAATACAAAATAACTTTATCAAAAATTGTAAAAATTTCATATCAAAATGCGTTTTAAAACATTAAATTCTTAAGAATTTATATTCATCATACAGGTCTTAAATACGTGTAAATGCACATCATTGTATTATTTCAGTTGTTTACCATTCTAGACGGCACAACATGAGACAAAATAATTTTTTCTGCAAAGTTATAAGCACCAACTTAATATTTCCAATAAGAAAACAGAACTTTCTTCACCAGTTCCTTCATAATGTGATAAAAATTTTCTAAATATAAGAAACATACTTCTTAAGACTAACTCAACAAACAAAGTAAAAAATAGAATGATATACAGTCAAAAGTCGTTAATCCGGAATGATCTATGATCCAGACCTCAAAGCTACAAACTTTCTGCGCATGCGTCAACGCTTACGCGTAATACCTTTACATCTGCGCATATGTGCGTACGCATGCACAACGGACAGTATAAGCCAAGCTAAAATTATCTAATTACTTATTTCAGTTAATGTTGCAGATTGCGTTGTTCCTTAATCTTCGAATTGGATCCGGCTTATTATTTTTTGCAGACTGTTACAGCAATTTTATAAAAGTAAGTTAAAACTTTCGATTATGTCAAATAGAATTTCCGATGCTTAAGCAAAGGGAAAGCATGTTTTGATGTTCATCAAACAAAAAGTGGAATCGCTGCAAAAAAATGGATAAAGGCTCCTTTGTTTCTCTAACCATTCCAAAATCTGTTTATCAATTTGAAGCTGCTCTGCGCCGGGATGGGGGGAACGCCGCTGCGCACAATGAACTGGAAGTTGATCTGTCAGCACTATCCTTATCTTCAGGGCAAATGTTTTTATTTTATTCGGCTTATAATTCCTCACTAAATGTAGTATTTCATCTCGATGTACTCCATATTTGATATGATTTAAATCAAATTCCTTGTCATTATAAATATCACAAATACAAATCAAATAGTTTTCTGGTTGCAATTTTCTCGGCTATGCGTAATGTATGCTTTACGCATGCGCACATTGAAAGAAATGTTTAATAAAGTAAAAAAATAAATATTAAGCTTTTTTTTTTTTGTAAATTTTGATACCCTTTATATCATAATTGGTCTTTATTTCATAAATTACACTTTCATATTTTTAATTTTATAATTTCTGCACGCCATCTTATCAGATTTAAACTGATGATCTATAATACGGAAAAATCGATAATCCGGAATCGCCGAAGTCCCAACGAGTCCGAATTAAAGACTTTTGACTGTACTTTAACACACTTTTTATCGATGATGCTCAGCTTGACAAGGATGCTGTTTTAACAGATAACAAGACAAGTTTAATGCATACTAGTAGCCATTTATGGCACTTGTCTTTCTCTAGTCTCTTTGGCAGCTACTGTCTAATACTAATAAAGACTCCTTTTTTCTTTGAAAATACAAACGATTATTTTTAGGAAGGGAAGACTGCTTATTGACATTTTTGTATGGCATCCAATGATGTTTTTGCCATCAGCATCAAGTCTGGGAATCTTAACAACATCATGGCTACTAGCTGAATAAGTCTTGTGTTATTTATTGTCATATTTATCCAACAACAGATGTTTATGATACAGAATAATTCTGAATTTCAGTCTTGTTCAACCTAGTGGTGGTAAACAGAATTGGTGGTAAACAGAATGCCACAGTTATTTCTTTGCGGACAATGAAACCTATTGTTGTCTCTAACTTCAGGATCTATCCACTTCTTTAACCTATTAGATATGACTTAAATGAATAGTTTATTTTCATATGTTGGAAGCATCACAGATTTCCTGCTGCTGAAACAGACTTGGCCAATTTAATAAAACTGCATCTATCGACATACTTCAAATAAACACAAGTCTGTTCGTATAATATACCCACAAAGCTACATGCAACAGCTGCCCAAATACTCATTTCTTTACATTCTGCAAGTTAAATAGAAAGCAAAATGTAATTATTTAACTTTTTTACCACCATTTATACATATAATAACATAGGGAAGTGATAACTCTAGTCTTTCACAGCACTGCATTTTGGATCCAAAAAAGTATAATTTTGATTTGATCCAGCAATGTACAATTTTAATAGAAACATAAGCCAAAGTGAATTATATTAGTATTTTTATGTGAAAATACTATGTGTGAATCTATGTGAAAATCTACACAAAAAGTGTTCAACTGTTTTAAAATTAGATACATGACAAATATTTTATTTTAATTACAATGATTACCCATGTATAATAAATCAAAATACTTCTTCCAACACATAAAAGAGCATTAAAAAAAAGTGGATAATTGCTTTTCTGATGTTTCACTTATTTACAGTTTTAGGTATTTTATTAACAAGTTTATTGTTTTAGTAACAGAATTAAAACTAACATCAGTTTTCTAAACCTAAAAATAATTTTAAGATATACAAACAAAGTTTGGTATTTTCTGATTATCCACATCCCTGAAAAGTACAGTGTTCAGCAGAAATCACTGTTGAAATCACTTTTGAAAAATCACTGTGGTGTTGCCAAAGTAGATAGAGGGATGCGGTCTGTTCCGTTAGGTATGTTACATAATTAATTTTCAGCCATCACCATGCTGTGGTCAGGTGAACATGGAGGCTTTGCAGTGGAAGCTTTTTCAAAAATGGCGGATCTGGAATTGCACATGGGGCATTTCGCACATGGTTCGGTTTACATGCTAATGCAAGTGATCCAGACCAGAAAACAATTTTTCTGTGGGTTCAAAGAGTAAGGGCAACAGGATCTGCACTAAAAAAACATCCACACATCTAAAAAATGCGAGAGCGCCAAAAATTCTGCAACAAGGGCTTCAATTCAGCAATCTGCAAGGTAGTCAGCATGAAAACATACCTAAGTTCTTATGATTTCCAAAAGAACTATGAGGTGAATTCTGCATATTGACTTTCATTTAAAAGCACACAAGATTGTCAGGAATTCTCTCCAACAGACTGTGGACGGCATATACATATTGCTATAATATGATCCTTGCAGTTGCACCTCCCATTTGCATTCTGTGGAGTAGCAATGAATTCTAGTTCTCTTTTTCTGGCACAATGAACAAACAAAATTTTCGCTGCTGGGCTGCTGAAAACTGTTAAGAGCTCTATGCACAACCTCTTCACAGCCTGTAAGTGACTGTTTGCACTTTGGCATCTATAAGCGTCAATGGGCCTTACTTTTCTGAGGAGGATGGAATCACTGTTAATGTTCATTCCAATCAATACAGCAACATATTGGAGAATTTCTTCACATGAGAACTGAGGAGTATGGGGAAAAAGCACAAGGAAAGAAAAAAGGGGGAAAAGAGGACTTCTGGTTCCAATATGAAGAACCTAAGGTAAATGCAGCATACTGTTTGCATTAAATTTTGCATATGTTCCCAGTCAAGTGGTGTCCTAACATGAGGCCATGACCACCACACTTGCCTGATTTAAGTTCCTCTGACTTTTTCTGTGAGATTACCTCACAGTTGGGGTTTTCAAACATCACCCCTTAGTCCTTGGACCAACTAAAAGAGGTTATACGAAAACAATTTGTAGAAATTTCCCCCAGCATGGTACTAAGAGTGATGGAAACTGGGATAACTACTCTTGATTCCTTATCTGTTATTTGGAGTAAAACAAAAGGCTGTCAATAATTTCATAATTGCAGCTCTATTTCTAATGCCCATCATATAATGTTGTTTAAAATAAGTTGAGATCTTTCAAACACCCATAAACATTTTTAAATTCTGGGTCTGTTTGTAATTCAGAAATATCTGTTTCTTGAAAAATCTAAAAATTTTTTATGTTAACACTGTACATTTCATTTTGTTCCCCTCATCATCTAATTCTTGATACAGCATCCACTATAACATTTTATTTTCTGGGAGTAAGTTTAAATATTAAATTGTATTCTTAAATTTAAGGACTCTTTGTATGAGTCGTAGTGATAAATTCAATTCTTCTCAGAATGCAAATGAACCACGGCTGCATGATCTGTATAAATATTAATCAGTACCTTCCCGAAACACACTCAATATTTCTGTACTGAAAGGACAGCTAATGTTCCCCTTTCAGTAGTGGTATAATTTTTTTGAGTTGGGTTAAGCGTCTTACTTAAAAATCGGCTAGGTATAATTTCTTTCAGTTGGGTTAAGTGTCTTACTTAAAAATCGGCTATTTATCTTACCTCCTACTACAAAATCTGATACACCTGCAGAGATTTCTAACATGATGTTTACTTTGGCTGACCACGTGACAGCCTGTTTTTTTTTTTTTTTTTTTTTTCCCCCTTTTAAAGTTTAATAGCAGTTCTGCTACATGGGCAAAATCTTTGGTGAAACTCTTATAATAGCAGCACAAGCATAAAAAAATGAGGCCAGCTTTTTTGTTGTATTAGAAGGTGGGTAATTTTTTATTGTTACAATTTATAATTTTTTCATTTTAGTTCCCTTTTGAGATACTTTACAGCTCAGGTAATCAAGTTCCTTTGCTGCAAATTTACATTTTGATTTGTTAACCCTGCTTCATTCAAAAGCGAAAACTCTTCATGCAAATCCCGAATATGTTTATCTACAGTCTCACAAGTAACTGCATCCTCTATGTAAACATACATTGTTCTTTCACTACAAAGAAAATGACTGGTAAATAGTCTGATAACCCCATGAGACTGATAAATAGTCTAATCACCCCATGTGATGTGAAGCAAATTATCGCTATGTCTGAAGCAACTACAGGTCTGGAAAAGGTTTCAATTTAGAACATAAACGCGATCTCTTAGGCTAAAAATATCAGTCACAGCTCATGATCATAAAATTAAAGCAGTCAAATTAAAGAGTTAAATGTGGAACCGTATTTTTACCAGAGCATCAAAACCAAATTCTTGACAGGTATGTAAAGCAAAACTGAATAATTACAACTATCAGAGCTGGCAGAAACTAAACATAGTCTGCATATGCAGCCACAAACATTCCATGTCTTAAAACTCCAAAAACTTCAAATTAAATACTGGCTATTTATTTGCATTCTGGTGACGAAACAGGAAGGAGATGTTACAGTAAAGACTGAAATAATAAATGAATGGTTAACCTCGTAACACCATGACTTCCTTGTACGGCTTAAATAAATTATACATATTTTTTTGCTGCACTTTACTTAAACTTATTTGCTAGAATTATTCTAACTTAATTATAACTGATTTCTCAAGGCAAGTTGAAAATTACATCAAATATTGTAAATTTCGAAATTAAATACAGTGAGACTCCGCTTAATGCCCGGGGATACGTTCCATCAAAGTAGAGCATAATGTGAAACAGCGCTAAACGAGGCTATCTTAACGTGTTAATAATGGGGTTAAAGGAAGATGGATATAAAATTGGTTAGGTATTAAATTTAATAATGTTTTTTAATAAAAATAAAACTGAACATTTATTTCTTACAAAAATAAAAGCAATATAAATGAATATACTTATAAAAACAAATAAAATTCTAAGTCAGTCAGATCAATCAGTCTATTCTGTGTTTCCAATTTTCAGCCTTTGTGTCACGAATGCATTATGATAGATTGGTTTAATGGCATATTGCATTCAATTTCATCGTCAATCCATATAGACAGTCGTTTTTTCCATTTCCTCTGTAATGTTATTTCTAGAACGGGTAATTCTAGTGGAGAGCTTGAAGTAGTTGCAGTTGCCGATGAGAGTATTTTTTCTTTATTCTTAAAATTGTCCTTATTGTTGAAGTTGCTAAATTCAATGCAGCACTAATTTGAGATCAATGCTCACGAGAATCTAATCTTCTAATCACTTGCATTTTAGTTTCCAGTGAAATGCTTTTTCTGGTAGCTTTCTTTTATTGTTTTTTATTATCACCCATGATAAAAACTAAAGATCATTATATTTGTCACTGTATTAATCGTTATAGTATTATATAAATTTATACTTACAATAATGTCAACAAATGTTTCAAATAATAAAAATGTCTCTGTACAGCACCGCACCAAACAAGAAACACAACTACAGTCAAAAGTCGTTAATTTGGACACCCATAATCCGAAATGATCTATAATCTGGACCTTAAAATCTTTCTGCGCATGCACCGCGTTGACGCATGCGCGCTAGACATTTACGACTGCGCATATGCGTCTGCGCAAGCGCAGAATACATTTTTGTGTGCGCATTTAATGTATAAAAGATGGTATAAGCTAAAATTATCTAATTATCTATTTCAGTTAATATTGATGACTGCGTTGTTCCTTAATCTTCGAATTGGATCCGGCTTATTATTTTTGGAGACTGTAAGAGCAATTTTATAAAAGTAAGCTTGAACTTTCGATTGTGTCAAATAGAATTTCCGATGCTGGAGCTCCCAAAGGATCTAGACAAAGCGAAAGCATGTTTCGATGTCCATCAAACAAAAAACAAATTGCTACAAAAAAGGATAAAGGCATATCCTTCATATCCTTTGTTTCTCTAACCGAATCCGAAGATTGTATTCCGAAATCTGTTTATCAATTTCACGCTGCTCTGCGTGCGGGGAGGGGTGACGTCGCGGAGCGCAATGAACTGGAAGTTGATCTGTTCAGCATTATCCGTTATCTTCAGGGCAGAATGTTTTTATTTTATTTCGGCTTATAATTCCTTACTAAATGTAGTATTTTCATTCTCGATGTACTCCTGTTCTTTGATATGATTTAAATCAAATTCCTTGTCATTATAAATATTACGAATACAAATCAAATAGTTTTCTGGTTGCAATTTTCTAATTTCGGCTATGCGTAAGGTATGCTTTACGCATGCGCGCATTGAAAAGAAATGTTTAATAAAGTAAACAAATAAATTAAGCTTCTTTTTTTTTTTTTTTTTTTTTTTTTTTTTTTTTGTAAATTTTGATACCCTTTAGATCATAATTGCTCATTATTTTATAAATTACGGTGTCATATTTTTAATTTTATAATTTCTGCATGCCATCTTACCAGATTTAAACTGATGATCTATAATCCGGAAAAATTGATAATCCAGAATCGCTGAAGTCCTGACAAGTCCGGATTAAAGACTTTTGACTGTACACTGTTTCGGATATGTTATTAGGAAACCTAGCGCTGTGCACACTTTCGGAGAATCCCCGGGTTGAAATAAAAGAGCGCTAAACTGAAACAGCGTTAAGCGGGGTCTTACTGTACCTCGGTCAATTTTGTCATACAGAAGTTAAACTTCTTGTATTTTTATTTTTTCATAACGAGCATTAAAACTTTCCCAAATATAAGAGTAGCTGTAGAAAGCATTAAATGATAGATTTCACCAGTTGTCCAACATTTAGTTTTTTAAAAAGTTAGAAACTGCCAAAATATGAATAATTTGTAATTTAAAACATTTCTATAAATTTAAGCATATGACCAACAACTGTGAAAATAAAGGTCAGAACTTTCAAACTGAATAAGGGGTTGGTTTTATATATACATACTTTTGATACTGACAATTGCAATAAAAAAGGGAGGTGCACAACTAGTTGTTATAGCAATCCCATACACAAAATTTCAGTGTTTCTTGATTAATAGTTTTTGAGTCCCACAAGGTACATACAGACGTCGAGAAGAAATAATTTTTGAATCTATTTACAATTTGTTTTGGAATAAAGAGTCATTTGCTTTGTATGTACATACAGATATCACGCATAGTCAAAGTGGAATCGAGAATGGTCAAAATATGTATTTCCATTGAAACTGAAATTTTTCACAATACTTCCTTTACTTTGTACAAGGTTGTTCAATAAGTTCGCGGAGCGCCATCTATTCGTCAATATTAGACCTAAAACTTCGAACTTTAACGCCATTTTCATATTTGTTCTTTCTTAGGAACACGTCAAAAGTTTCATTTTGATCTGTTAATTTATTCATTGTTTAACCACTCTTCATATCTAATGTGTTGTGGCTTTTTTCAAGTATGGATAAAATTGAGCAATGTGCAGTCATCAAATTCTTTGTACAGAAAAGTTTAAAGGCAATGGAAATTCATACCGAAATGGTGAATGTGTTGGGTGAATCTGCTCCTCCAAAAACAATGGTTTGCAAGTGGGCTAGTTTATTCAAAAGTGGTCATACCAGTCTTGAAGACGATCCGCGATAGGGTCATCCAAAAACTGCATCAACACCGGAAAAATATAAGATAGAAAAATATAAGATATGGTATTGGAAGACCGTCGATTGACTGAAAGAGATTTAACAGAGGCTTTAGGCATTTCATTGGGCACAGTGAGCAATATTTTGAGTGTCAATTTGGGTTTAAAAAAACTCTGAGCAAAACGGGTGCCGCATTTTCTAACGATGGAGCAAAAACAAATTCGGATGTGACTTTGCCAGCAACATTTGGAGCGTTTTAAGAAGAATAAAAGCGACTTTATCCGTCAATTTATCACAATGGATGAGACTTGGGTCTACCATCATGATCCTGAATCAAAACAGGAGGCCAAGGAGTGGTGTGAACCCGGCTCTTCGGCGCCGAAGCGAGTTCGTGTGCAAAAATCAGTCAAGAATGTGTTAGCATCAGTTTTTTGGGATGCGAAAGGAATTTTATTTATAGATTACCTTCAAACTGGCAAAACAACTAATTTGGATTATTGTTGTAACCTTTTGAATCAATTAGACGAAAAAATTCGTGAAAGAAGACCCGGATTACAGAAGAAGAAAATAATTTTCCACCAAGATAACTCACCTGTGCATACAGCTCAAAAAACCATTGCTAAAATAACTGAATTGAAGTACGAATTGCTGCAACATCCAGCCTATTCGCCAGATTTAGCTCCCTCCGACTTCTGGCTCTTCCCACACCTCAAACAATATCTCCATAGAAAACGAGGGATATTTGCAGAGCTGCCGAAAAACCACTACAGTCAAGGGATCCATAAATTAGAAGACCGTTGGAATAAGTGTATTGAAGTTGAGGTAAACTACGTTGAAAAATAAAGTCATTTTTACAAATAAAAATTGGTTTCTTCATTTCCGCGAACTTATTGAACAACCTGGTACAAGGAAGTAAAATTACTGCATTAAAATTATGAAATAATACTTACAAGTCAGGCATCAACTATGCACAGTATCAGAATAGTAGTTTATTACTCATAATAAGTTTTTACGAACAACAGTGGAAAACTGCTTATGGATCATAAGGAGAAGATAATTTTAGCTATTTCTTTTGCTCAAATTTTTTTTAAATACGTGCTGTTTAAAGGAAGTAGTTTTATCTGAACTTACGTTTGCTGTTTTGGCTTATTTATTTCTTTTTCTTCCAGAACATATATTACTTTTACATCTTTTCCTTTTAGTTCTTCATCTTGGATTCTCCTTAATAGTTTGGATTGTTCATTAAGATACTTTTCTTTATTTAAAGAAGAACGGAGAGCTATTTTTGCTTCACAGCTAAAAAATAAATTAAATTTAAAATTAATAACATGAAAACTATCTTTATGAAAACAAAAATAATTAACAGAAGCTGTCAATCAATTAGAGAGAGAAAGTGAATGCAGAAAAAATCTGATATCAAATTAATTAATTTCTCAGTAATTTTGTTAACCTATGGGCTTACTGAAGAGCAAGATTACTGAGCAATATGCATAAACCAAGTAAACCTAAAATAAGCAAAAATGTATCAATTTGATATTACTATTAGCAAAAATGTATTAATTTGGAGGTCTTGAAAGTAGCTGTTAGACACAGAAACTGTAGAGCAAGCTTTTTCAAAAAGCAATGTAGAAAAAGTAGAAAGCAACCTTCAAAGTAAATAAACGCAGTTCATTTATGGAAAACAATGCCTGGGAATTACCACTTGTCATCAAGTTTTCTTTTCATCAAAAGTATGGCATTGAGGATATCAAGGTGTTTGTCATTTTTTATGTATACTATATCTACATGTACCTTAAGGTGAGTATATAAAATACACTAGAGCTTCCCCAAAAAATAATACACATGTGATTACTAATAAGAGATATTGGTTTTACAGAAAAGGTATCAGTGTCTGTATTTATGTATTTCAGAAGGATAATCTAAATTCACAATATTTAGTAAAGAATCCATTTTATCATTCTAGAACTAAACATATTGATGCTTGTTTTCATTACAAAGAGGTGTTATTTGATAAGGAAGAAATCAATATTAAATATATATCTAGAGCAGAAATGTCCACTGAGACAACAAAGAATCTCGGCAGGGACAAACACAGAAAATGTACAAATCTATCATGTCTTGAGTATAAATCAATGATTTAATTTCTCATAACTGATTTTTCATAATTGATTTTTCATAATTGATTAATCTCTCACAATCCAGTGAGGGACAGTGCTAACATTTAACACTTCACCAGTATTTCTGAGCAACTCAAAATGACAAAGCTACGAGTCATTTAAATTCAAGCCTCTGCTAGCTCAGTCAGTTGTAACCTCAAACATTTCCTGATTCTGAAATCTTCAATATGTCACCAATGCACTGACATTCCAATGTCTCGTTTTTTTGAGCTTTATTTGGTTTGTTTTCTAAGAGATTAAGAAGCGCGCCAATTGTGACTTGAATGCTACAATTGGCACGCTCACGTCAGATGCAGAAGTGCCCACTTATTTGGTGCATTTTACAAGATAAATAAGCACGCCAATTGTGGCATTTAAGCCAATTTTGGAGTTTTGGAAAAGAGCGCACTTCGGAACATTTTTACGCATACTCAGTATATATTTTAAATTGAGAAGTTCTGATTGGTGTTGACGGAAACAGATGACAGAGAAGCAGTTATTTCAAACAATCCTTTGAAAATCCATTACTCTTTTTTCTTTGGCTGAGCTCAATGGAGTGGATAATGTCTTTTCAGGTAAATTTATTTTTCTTTAGATAAATTTTTACAGATACTTACAATGGCCTCCAGTGATATTGGTATTGTTGAAAATGTGGATGAATGCATGTTTAAGTTATTTCGTGTATTTTTAAAGGTTTTCTACCATGCTGCCTGCTTGCTTTAGGAAAGAAAGCTGTGTTAGAATGGTGTTTTGTTTTCAATAATTTGGATATGTATACATTTTTTCTAGTGATACGAAAGTGGTTTGGAAGGTTCCCTTAGAAATATGCAATCGAAGACTTGAATATTTCTAAACACAAGGTAGTTGACTCGTATCTTTTCTGTAGGGAAATATGTATTCATATTATGGTGAAAGATAGTTGCAAATCAGAAGAGTCGATAAAACTGTTGAGGTTGATGAAAGTAAGTTTGGGAAAATGAAGTATGGAAGAGGCTAGCCCGTGAAAGCAAGATGGGTGTATGCAGACATTGAAACAGATGCCCACAGATATTTGTTTAGAGTGGTTTCGAATCGAACAAGTATCTGCTTGCTTGATGCAGTTAGTGAATGGGTGTTGCCTACCACAATCATTTCTATCTGCTAGGCTGCCCATAAATGTCTGGAAAATGAAGGATTTTGGCATTTAGAGGCAAACCACAGTTTGACGTGCGAGTGTCCAGGAACAGAACAAGTGTACATACTAAAACCACTGAGGGTGTATGGGCAGGAATCAAATGATTTCTTGGAAATTCTACTAATCGAACTGAAGAAATGTTTGATTCATATCTGTACAATTTTATGTGGAGGAAAAAACATGAACACTCTGTTAAAAAAATATATTTAAAAGTTTCCTTGCTAACATTGCAAGACTTTATCCCCACCACTTTACGCGATCCAACTTCCGAAGAAGAATTTTTTCATGAATCTGATGGTGACGCTGTTTCAGACGTCAATGTTTCCGGGCAATAGTCATCTTATTTTAAAAAATAAATGGGGGAGGGGGATTTATGGAATAAAGTGCTTTTCTACATTAAGGTAAGTGAACGTATTTTAATTTTTCAGTGTTTTGTAACAATTTTAAGTGATTGAAACTTACTATGTTTTTTAAATGATTTCAGTTTTAAAAATTATTTTTTTGCAAGAGTTTTTTCAGTTCTTAATTTTTTTTTTCAAGTGAAAGTATTTTAATTTTTCAGTGTTTTGTAATGATCTTATGTTTCTGAAATGATTTTTCATTTTTAAAATTATTAAGTTTTTCGCAAGCATTTTCAGTTTTTAAAAATTTTCTTCCAACTTGTTTTTTTTTTTTTTTTTATTATTTATTTTTATTCATGTCGTGTCTTACATAGTGCCTCCTGGAGAGGCTACAACTCCAGGAGACAACACAAAAGTGTGCCAAGTTGACAATTTTAAAAACTGTGCCAAGCAGTTGATGATTCTTCACTTTTTCCAAAGTTACTATACCTACTGATTGGCACTATGTGACTACTCTGGTTTAAAAAGATCACACGGTTCTTATCAAGATGCACTCAAAGCATCATTGTCACCACCAGTTACAGCCCAATGGAAGGCCATCAGAAGAGATAAAAAATAAATATAGCAAATAATTTAAAATTAAATAAAGAGATAAAAAAATTGATACATTAACTGATAATAAAGACAAATAGTTAAACATTAAGTGATAATAAGGACAAATAGTTAAACAATTTCACTCAAAAACTGAGAAGTCCAGCTCTGGCTAAATTTAAGTCTTGCCAACATACAAGAAAAAGTGTTCTTGAATACAAGAACCTATACCTTTGCTTGCATCAACTACTTTTCCGGTGCAATAAAAAACTAAATGACTTTATATATTATCTGAAGATTATTATTATATCTGAAGATTTAAGATATTATATGAAGATTAAAGACAATCACATTCTATAAACTGAGCTCTGCTACAGATAATAGCATTTTCCACAAATTTTCTAAACACTGGAATATACATTTCATATATATAATATAATAAGAAATGAACTATAAAAGAATATTTAATATGAAGAAAACTTACGGTAAAGGTCTGGGAGCTATATCAGCATGTTTAACAATATGGTTTTTTACTTCAGTTTTCAATATGCTTTGCTTTGATTCATTTCTTACTAATGATAATTCTTTCTGTATTTCATTAATGTTAGGTTCAGAAATATCTTTTGAATGCTTACTTGAATCTGTATCTTTCAAAAAGTTCTTTATTTCTTCAATTGTGTCTGTTTTATTATCTACAGTGTTACATTTATTTTCAAGATCATTAACACCGAGTTCTAACAGACCGTCAATAACAATTTCCTCATCGATAAAATCCGGTTGGTAATAGCTGGCATCGCTGTCGGAAAAAGTGCTTGCCGGAGAAGGAACGTAACCACTTTCTGGACTACTGATATTTTGATCACCAAACTGACCATCTGTTTCGTAACTCTGAGAAAAGTCAAATGTCACATAAGAATTGAGGTTTTCATTTGACAAACTGTTATCTTTCACACTTCCAAAAGACAAGTGGAGCAGTGTACTGTGGTCAAAGTCAGAAATATTGTACAAATTGAGTTGACCTCTGTTTTGTCGATTAGGCAAATGTCTTCGTGTTCGTAGAGGTGCTCTTTCTCGCAAATCAGACTTTTCCTCATCATTTACACCTGATATCTCTCGCAAATCAGACTTTTCGACATCATTTATATTTGATATCTCTTGCAAATCAGACTTTTCATCATTTACATCTGATATCTCTCGCAAATCAGGCTTTTCACCATCATTTACGTGTAATATCACTAAGTCATTTAACAAATTATTTATATCATCATTTATGACTTCATTTACATTCAATTCAGTTTTAATGTTTACATTTTTACCTTCTTTAGAGATCAATGAATCATATGTATCACAAAATGATTTCACATCTTTAGAACTTTTTTCTGATTCATTACATAATTCATCTGAAGAGTATTCAAGAACTAATGAATCAATGTTAATTTCAACAGAAGAGAGACTATGATTTTCATTTTCTTTTTTCAGATTGCTTGCATTATGATTATCTTTCATAGTACAGGCAGCAGCCTCTTGTTTCAGTGCATAAGTGTTATCTTCTAGTTTTATAACATGAAAATCATCTTGAGTTCCAGTTTCGTGAGATTCCTTTTTTTCCAGAGAATTCAATGATTCAGCTATGTCACTTGGAATACTTGCTAAATTCAATTTTTCAAGTTCATATGCTAACAAGATAGATGAATCAATATCAAGATCAATTAAATCTTCAGTCTTATTTTCAGAGTTTTCTGCCATTGTGTACATAGAGCTCAAACTTATTTCAGAATAATACTTTTGTCTTCACTTGAACAAATGATATGCAGAATCACAGCTGCAAAAGCAAGACAGAAATGTAAATACCTTAAGCAAAAAATAAATAAAAATATCTTTATTTCCAGCATTTAATAGCTATCCAAAATTACGAAGGTTGGCTTAATAATATTAATATTTTATACATTTAAATCTTAAATATGCACATCAAATAACTTCTTAGGTTATGTGATTAAATATATTAAATACTAAAAACTAATTCCTTTAGCTATCATGATATGCTTGGTGATATGTTTACTAGAAATACATGTGGAAAACTAGTTATGTAGATTTTAAATCACAATTATCCAAAAAAAATTAACTGTAATCATTCTATATATATTTTTTATATTATCACTTCTGTCATTCCTTGAAATTCTGTAATATAGTAATACAATTCTTAAATAAATGCCCACCAGGAAAATTATTTTTTTGATTTATCTGGCATGTTAAAATGAAAATTCTGCAATGATTAATTTAATCATTAAATAAGGATACATAAGAAAATTTAACACTAAATTAAAAATTCTATATCAAATTTTGAAAAAAACAAAATGTGTGAATATTATTATTATTATTATTTACTGTTATTGCATAATATGTGAAATTTCTTCAAAAGTTAGCTTGGCAGAAAAGGGTCAAAATTTAATTCCAAGATTTGAACCAAAGAAACAAAGAAATCAAGTTAATTGAAACAGTACTTTCTGATTACTTAACTCTCAATGAAGCTTTGCAAATTCACTGACAACTCTGGAGAGCATTTACAAACTCACTGGCAACTGGTTTCTAACCAAGCTTATTGAACCAAAAGCAACAACCACTTTCAAAATGGCAGTGCATTAAGAATTCCATAAAAGCACAATCAATAAAATTAAAAAAGGAAGAAACATCTATAATAAAACATACACCTTTTTTAAAAAAAAATCCTTGTTATTGTTCTCCCCCACAGTCAGTTATCTGCTTTTGCTAACACATAAATAAGTAAGTAGATAGAAGAGGTTTTATTATATAAACTTTTATTTTAACTCACAGAATCATTAACGAACTAAAAGGAGAAAAGTAATTTAGTTTAATGGGAACAAAGGATTAAATAATTCTTTTTACAAAAATCATATACAGTCTTAAATCACAAATAATAAAAGTGTGAATAGTACATAAGTTTATAAAAATAATGGTTTATGTTTTTGCTAATGTAATTCAATTCCATTATATTTAGTCATCCATACTTTTATTATTTGTGATATGAAACATAGATGAATTTTGTAAAGATAATTAGGTAATAGTACAGTGTGTGATCTACTACTTTTATTTACTTTTCATCATTTTACTGTATGTTCAAACAAAAAAGCTGAGTTTTTTTTTTTTTTTTTAAATGAAGCTACTGTTATTACATTATGAGACTAACGAAATTTATATTGGCTAAATTGAAGAAAAGGAGCTTGTCTGATAATGATTTAATCCAGCGGTTCTCAACATTTTGGCTAACGTGTACCATATAAACAAAAATTGAAAACCTTTAGTACCACCACCACTCTTGAACAAAGCTCAGATTACATAAATTAACAAGTGTTAGAGAAAAAACTCAATTAGGATGTTGGCATTTTAGTTTTTGTATTTAATAGATAAAAATACTTTGCTTCTATCTACACATTTCTGCACACGGAAATGAATACTTTTAAGGACCATTAATGAAGAAAATTAAGGACCTTTGAGCAAATGAGAACTGAATAAATTCAATTAAAAATATTATTCTATTTTTGATTTTTACTTTTGTAATACTATCTTAAAAATAAAATAGATCCCTAATTAATATGCATTATTACTAAACATGAATTAATTAACATAATTAATACAGTCAAAAGTCGTTAATTCGGACACCCATAATCCGGAACTCAAAACTAAAAACTTTCTGCGCCCGTGTTGACACATGTGCATAGGCGTTTACGCGTGCGCGTAAGACCTTTTACGACTGCGCATATGCGTGTGCGCAAGTGCAGAAAACGTTTTCGCGTGCATGCTTTATGTATAACGGACGATATAAGCTAAAATCATCTAATTATCTATTTCAATTAATGTTGATGATTGCGTTGTTCTTTAATCTTTGAATTGGATCTGGCTTATTATTTTTTGCAGACTGTAAGAGCAATTTTATAAATGTAAACTTGAACTTTCGATTATGTCAAATAGAATTTCCGATTCTGGAGCTCCCCAAAGGATCGTACAAAAAAGAAAGTATGTTTCGATGTCCATCAAACAAAAAGTGGAATTGCTGCAAAAAATGGATAAAGACATGAAGAAGGTGACAGAGAGGTTAGTGAAAACAAAAAAATTTCGATTGACAAGTTAGTCGGTATTCTCGGCACAGCAATTAACAGGACTTGAACAGCGGAACTTTGTAACTGAACAAGAAATCATGTCTGTTTATAGAATTAAAGAGAAAGTATTATCACATAAAACGAAGCAACTTAAACAACTTACATTGAAAGAAATGTTTAATAAAGTAAACAAAAAAATATTAAGCTTTTTTTTTTTTTGTAAATTTTGATACCCTTTAGATTATAATTGTTCTTTATTTCATAAATTACGGTTTCATATTTTTAATTTTAGAATTTCTGCATGCCATCTTACCAGATTTAAACTGATGATCTATAATCCGGAAAAATCGATAATCCGGAATCGCCGAAGTCCCGACGAGTCCGGATTAACGACTTTTGACTGTAATAAGCTTGAGAATAAAATAAACTTTATGCAATTTATCAAGTAGCATTAAATATTTTACACTTATAATAGTTGGACATATTTGAAAGAAGATAAGTGAAATTTACATTTTACTAATAGTTAGATTTTTATGCTAATTTTTTTATGTCTCATTTTGTCACATACTTGGTCAGTCTAAAGGTTTAGTAAATAGCAGGTAGATTTTATGTAAAACAGCGTAGGTTAAAATGAAAAGTACGATCATAATCAGCATTACTGAATGCTGTAACCGCTGCTGCTTGTCTAAAGAGGGACCTGCTGATTAGAACAAACCTGAAAGGCATGATGTAGGGGCATGGTTGGCAAGTGTTGAAAGTTACTCAGGATCTGTTTAATGCAGTTAGTGTCATGGCTCTGTGCAGAGTTCCAAGGGTTGTAACCCAGTTAATATACTTTAAGGTTCCAATAAGAAATTAAAGCACCAGAGGTGATAAGTTGTTTTGTATCATTTTAAGTCTCACTAGATGCAAAGAACAAGTTTTACTTGAACTTTTACATTTTTGTGTTTTATCTTGTGACTATTAATGAAAGGCAATAACTCACTTTAATATGTAGAGATAATTTTTAAGGGTAAGCAGTTAGCTATAAATAATTAAATTAGGTAACCTTAGTCATTATGGATTTACATGGCCACTATTAAATTTTATTTTTTAACAATATTTATTAAAAAGCTCTATTAAAACCAAAATCTAATAAAATTTAACAGTTTAAAATGCATGTAATTTATGACATTGATTCTTAAACGATATTAGTACAATTACACATTAAAAGCTACAAAACATAAATGCTTTGTAACAAGAACACTCAACAAAATATTTATCTGTGATTTTAATTTAAAGCATTTTGGCTAGTTTTTATCGATTTCCTTCTCTTTAAGCATCTTTTCTAATAATTAGACATTTATCTCAATATGCAAACATATGCAAACCAATGCTCTTGCTAGTTCCTGCATGCTTTATCTCCTAAGTTGTCAAACTTTCCACAATGCACCTATGAGATTTACTTGATCTGGTAAAAGTTAAATAGTCCCAAACCTCTGACAGATGTGGAGCAAATTATCGCTATGTCTGAAAATAACTATAATATCAGACAAAGGTTTAAGTAAGCCTCTTATTTAAAAAGAACATAAAGGCATTTCTGATTACAAAATCATTACACTCATGGTGACGTAATTAACAAGAATGGTCAAATTTAATTAAAAATGTGGACTAGTTAAAAGATAATAAATTGATTTTAATTTATTGGCTCGTAACTATCATATGAGGATATAGAAATAGAACTCATTGTAAAGGCTAAAATCATAAATGGGAATTTACAAAATAGTAACTACACATATCTTTGAAATAATTTTCTTTATTCTTTCTTCAACATGTTTCCTTTTCATTTAGATTTTGGGATTTAATTAAGGATTTCTATTATTCTAAAAAACACTAACACATTAGATGTTAAAAAGTAGCTAATCTTATTTCTTAGTAAATGAACTTTAGAGAAATATGAAATATATATGATAAAGGATGGTCAGATCTGGGACGGTAAGAATTTTTAGAATTAGTGACATACCGAAACAAAATCTAGAATGGCAAACTTTAGAATTTAGAGCAGACATTGGAAGGAATTTAGGCAGCAGATTTAGAATCCATATTGACTGCATCAAAAGGGAAAATCTCTGGTATGATGCATTATGACATATTGTGAAATTTTAATTGCAAGCTTTCAATTTCCTTATTAATAAAAAATTACTTTCTATATGCCTGCCCAAGTGATAAGATTAAATTTTTTATATTTCCATGCGTGTCTAGCGAATATAGGAAAATAAACATCTTAAGAAAATACTCTAATATCATGATCACATTAAATATCATGTTTTCATTTTTCTTCCAGATGTTCTCCAAAAAGTAAGAAATTCCTCGCAAACTTTCTGTAAAATACATCCATTACGTTTTAATACCATGGAGACATTTTTCATTTGGTCCATTATTTCTCGAGAAAGTGAAAAATAAAAATGTTTTTTTTTTTATTTTTTAAATATAATTTCAATATACATATTAACCATTATTTTAATGAAATTTATCAATGTTATGATGTTAAAAACAATCACGAAAATTCTCAGATCCAGAATTAAAAATTTCTATAGAAACTAATCTTAAAATTCCCAAAATGTTGATAAGTCACGAAATTTAGAATCTTAATAAAAGAATTCACACCCCAAAGCGAAAAGTTGTTTAAGAGCTCTTTATTAAAAAAATTTCGAAATGCATGTTTCAC